CTGCCGTTTCAGCGCGGTCTGTGGTGTTGCCTGTTGGTGCTCTGTGAACTGTATGGCGCGCTGTCATCATGGCTTGCGCAAAGAGGCAAAATCTGCAGTTCGCCGCAAAACTCGAAATCATCAATCGGGTTGAGCGCGATGAAAAGAAGTCCGACGTCGCCGCCGCGTACAAAATTCCAAGGAGCACCTTGAGTACTATCCTGAAGAACAAGGCACACATCAGGGACAAGTTGGACAAAAGGCCAGGTGCCCGTGGCGCCCGACGTGTGCGCGCTGCTGTGTACGAAGATGTTGAAGCGGCCGTTTACAAGTGGTTTGTGGGCGTTCGGTCGCGAAACATCCCGGTGTCCGGCCTTATGATCGAGCAGAAAGCCAGGGACCTTGCTTTTCTGCCTAGCAGGAATGATTTCCAAGGCGGTTCAAGCTGGCTTCAGCGGTTCGAAGAACGGCGCGACATCATTGGCAAAGCTGTTACAGGTGAAAGCAGAGCGGCGGACCTGGACAGCGTAGAAAAATGGCTTGAGGAAAACTGGCGAGATATCGCAGCAAGATATAGAGCCCAAGATATTTTCGATGCGGCTGAAACCGCCCTATATTGGCAAATGTTGCCAAACAAGACACTTGCGTGTTGTGGCGACGATGCAAGCGGCGGCAAGGCAAACAAAGCTCGTGTGTCCGTGCGGTTGGCAGCTAATTTAGACGGATCGAAAAAGCTTCGACTTCTGGTTATTGGGAAAAGCACGGCACCGCGGTGTTTTCGAAATGCGCTGTCGCTTCCAGTTACCCACCGAGCAAACTCAAAAGCGTGGATGACTGGGGAGCTTTTCAGCAGATGGCTATCGTCGTGGAATGATGATTTGGTAGGCGAAAATCACAAGGTGTGCCTGCTCGTGATGAATTGTTCATCGCACCTACTCCATACGACCTTCAGCAACAACGAGCCGAGTTTTTTGCCCCTCGAACACTACGTCTGTACTGCAACCACTGGATCAAGGCGTTATACGCGCAATGAAAGCCGGCTATCGGAAGCGCCTGGTGGAGAGGCTGCTGCAGAACCTTCATGCCGGCAGGGAGCTTAAGATCGACTTGCTCGGAGCTATTTCTATGTTGAGTAGATCGTGGGCAGATGTTAAGAAGGAGATGATCCAGAACTGCTTTAGGCATGCCAGCTTCCGCATGCCCGGTGGTGACACCCCAAATTCTGACAGCACTGAAGACACCACAGGTGTTTCCGCCGAAGTTTGGAACGAGCTGGCAGAGTTCCCGGGTGCTATCAACGGATCGACACTCGACGAGTTCGTCAGTGCAGACGATGATGTCCCCATCATGGGCCAATTACAGGATGAGAATTACATTGCAGACGTCGTGCCGACCACGAGTCAAAGCGACAGCAATATGGAAATCGATGACGGCCCATTGCCTACATCCTCCGAAGTGATTAGTGCACTTGTGTTGGTCCGGCGCTATTGCTTGAATGTGGAAGGTTGCAGCCTCAGCTGCTCCGACTCGGACAACGTGGAGGCGTGCGTGCTGTCGCAGGCATAGTCGTAGACACAGAAAAAAACCCGGGACTATTTTGTTCCACAGTAGGGCACGCAAGTAAGCCACCATACTAATAAAGTACTTTTCTTCTAGATTGTTATGTGTCTTTGTGTCAAACCTATATCGAGCCTATATCTAATTATGCCATATATCGAACAAATAAACGTTTTTTTGGAGAGTTCGACATACCCGGGTTCAACTGTAGTTTCCTTTTCACGTAAGACTGCCACTTTTTCGAGCAGAGACTGCGACAACGTTGCGAATACGTCGTTAAAAGCAGTGTACGAGTTGCCAGTAGCCTCTGTTGTGGGGGCGGTGAGCACGTTCACCGCGAACGGATTGACTTTTTGTTGTTGATCGACGCGCGGCATACTCTTTTCTGACGACCCGTTGCGCAGTTCAAGGTCCTTTCATCAGGCCGGGGAGAGGGGGGGGGGGGAACCACGGCATTGGCGCGTTTAGCAATAAGACTGCGCTTCCGTTCTGCCCCTACAAAGATTGATATCTCTTGTAGAGCTTCACTTCTGCTTTTTACTTGCCGTCCTCTGATGAGGCTGCAAAACACAGCCTTTTTCAGTAACACTGCCGGCAACCAACGGGCTCGTACACGAGTTAGGCCTACACCGGTGACCGTGGCGAGTTCATTATCCTCGTCCTGAGGCATAGCGAGGCTCTCTCTGAAGTTCACAGCGAACGAACGACCGCCACACCCGCTTCACAAATTACTGTAGCACGGAACTTTACTGCCGCAGGCAGTCAGTAGCACCATGACAAAACGACGCAGGTCCGTGCGCGTCACGATGGTGAAGCAGACGCCGGAAATGCCGCTTGGCCAATCGGATGCCTAGGTTTTGTCACGTGCCCCACGCAGCCAATAGATTCATGCGCTGGTGCTTCTCGCTGACGCGTTTTTGCTAAAAAACCATAGAGCAAGGCGAGCCATCGGTGGCGGGAAATTAAAGATGAAGAACGACCCTTCCAAAAGAGACCAAGATGAACACGATAGCTCGTAAGTAACGGCAACAGTTAGGCGTGGAAAAAGCGCAATTTTAGCGTCAGTTTGTGCTCTCATTCATTTCACAGTGATGTTATAAATCGATTTTGTGCCAGAAATAATGATGCAAGAAGCTAGAAACTTCTCAAATAGGTGCAAAAAAAGGCACAGATTCTGAAATTGTCAGATTCAAAAAGTAGATTTTTTTTTTTAGATTTTTCGCCTTCCAAGACCAGAGTCCCCCTTTAAAAAATGCATGGCCTCGGCTAAACATTATTGGATGCAACACTTTCAGTGGAAACCAGTCAGAAGAAAAAAACAACATTAAATGCAGCTTTGCCTGAAAGAAGTGCAGAGCTTTTCTTTCATTCCTTCTCTTACTTGCTCCCTCTTACAATTTGTATGCAGTCGAGCCCACATATAACGGCCCCACTTAAAACAAACAATATCCGCGTGACCGTGAAAATATACATTGGTTCAATGGCACAAAATCGCACTTACAACAACCCGAGTCGGCGCTCTGCGGACTTACCGGGAAATCACTTTCGACCACAGACCAGGCATCAGCGAGGTGCCCGTATATTCTTATTCTTGAACGCTGACCCTGCCTCAGCGCCCCTCTAGTTGCCACTCTCCCCGACCGCTTTTTGTTACACACCCCTTTGTCCCCCCCCCCCCCCCCCTCTACTCTGAGCACCCGCCATCGCCAGACGAGGCCCGAGCGAGTTTTCACGCTGCCACCGATCTTTCGAAGATCGGTCGGCCATCTACCCTGTTTTCGATCGCTGGTACTGTCGTTGGCATTGCCGGCTTAGAGTGACTAGACCCACCATCGTCGGCCACCGACTGTATATGATCATCTGCGCTAGTGCACGCACATACGCTACCCCACTGACTCTGATAATTTACGATTCGTTTCCTGTTTAGCACTTGTTCTCGCTCACTTCGCACTCTGCTCAGCATGCCCTCCACACGAGTGCGGAAGCGCGAAAACTGCTGTTAATTTGTGCGGTTCGAATCGTGAAATATCAAAGTTGGTGAGGCCACGCATACCCGCCAGCGCAACAGAACAATTTTTTGACCACGGCCGCCGATTCTTTGAACACCGCCGTGCGCACCGATCCAGGAGGCCGTGCTTGACTTCTGCGCGTGCAGGCACTCAAATTTCGAGTTTTTCTATGTGCCAGTTGCGTGTTTCGCGGACCTTTCAAGCAAGCTACCCAACCTGCCTCTTTCCTGTATATTTTGGTTTTCAAGGTCGCTCTCCCACCGCATCCTCCCCTCTCTTCACTCTGTCGCAACTCCTTGCTCTTCTGCTTTCGCAAATCTGCGCTCCTCTTGATCACAACAGCTTCGCCTGTATCCACTGCTCCGCGACGCCAGCCTCGCTGGCTCGAATTAGTTTCGTTTTCTAGAAGACTAGAAATGAGCCCATAGCTGTTTCACGCGTTCTGACATGTGTGTGGCATGTGCGCGTCTTGCTCGCTCTTGGTCTGTGTGTGTGGTCAAGATGGCAGAAAGGAGGACTTGCACGCTTTTTCCTGCCGCTCAACAAAACGTCAAAAGTGTGACCGCTTGACTTGAGCGTAATCCGCGTGTTAGGTGCCACGTCGCAGAGTGCTTGCTCATAGCTGCTGACCACCTGGCAGCCAACTTGCCGCTGCGGGGGTCCTGGTATTCAGCAGAGATGGTGAAAATTTCGTGGGTGGTGGTGACAACTACAGGTACGCAAAACTTTTTGCGAGGCAGACTTCGATGTCGGGCTCGATGCCAAGTCTGAACCTTCCGAACAGGATCACTCCAGCAGCGATTTGTGGCAGGGCGTCTTCGACTCCAACCTGGAGAGTGGGTGGGACATCTGTTGCGATGGTTTAATTACGGCCGATGATGATGCCGACACTGCGGAACGGTGCTCGGATTAGGGCATTGCGAATGAAGTACGTGGCGAGAGCGGTTTGGCGGAATTAGATTGCGAGAAGGACAAAAACTTTGGAGCCAGTGCCTCATGCAGCTCATGCCACGGGCCTCGGCGAACAAGCACCTTGCCGTTTTAAATGAACTCGAGACTGCCCTTATTGCTTCTGCTCTTCGAAACATGAGCATCACAAACTTTTGAGCAAAAAATTTTTGTGTTTTCACTTGCAACGTTGTTAAAAGATGCGTTTCATTTACTAAGAATTTCGAGATACAGCGAACGGATGCCACGTCAGGCTCAGGTTCGTTATAAGCAAGCTCGACTGTATGTGGTTTGTGTTGTCGTGTTAGAAATAGCAGTAATGTCCGCACTTAATGACATCATCAAAGTGCTTGAAGAACGAGAGGAAGGAAGACCTCTTTGTCACAAGAGTCTGCATTAATGTCGCTCGAAGAAGACTTCTCCATGGCATGAGTGCACTAAGCAGCAACGACCGTTAGGCTTAGTGCAGTAAAAAAAACTGATGTACGAGCCAAAAGTGATCATCACCTGACTGTCGGCACCCAGGTCAGTGGGTCGGTAAACGTCACTGACGCTGACAAACTTCTGCGCCACGGGTCCCAGAAGGTCAAGGCCCGGCTTGATCTCTGCCTCTGGGTTGTCCGTCTCAACTGTGGTGCTCACCATAGCAATGAACCAGCCCTTTGCAGCCACTTGGTGCGTGTGCGACACCAGTGACACGTAGATGTCTGCAGACAAAGAGTTTTCGCAGCCTCATCAAAAGAAAGGCACACATTCAATGCAACCACAAGAACAATGAATACAATCGAATTGGAAAGTCCCCGCTTCGAAAGGCTTCTTCCGAACAACCCCACCTGTTTGCCTCCCTTCCATCCCATACACCGTGAGAATGCATGCTTGCATCACTGACGACCGCATGCTAAGGCCAATCGCGACAGCTGTATTTGGTTCATTTCACAAGTTGAGGTTTCGACATCTATCTGTCGTGTTTTCAGTGTGCCCTTGTGATGGGCTACAGAAGTTATACACACGACAAAATTCAAGCTTGATATGACCGCAGATACAGCACGAGAACAGAACGACGACAAAGGGACAAGAAGGAGACGTCTCGTTCTTGTCCCTTTGTCGTCGTTTTGTTCTCACGCTATATCTATTGTCATGTCATACCAACTAGCCCAAACTGCCACACTTCAAGCTTGATGTTACAATAAAGTCCGTCAAAAAAAAAAAAAAAAACTGCACCACAGCGAGGCAAGTGCATGAAGTTATTTCAACACGTGACAATCGGTATGGCAGAAAGCAGAAAGGTGCACCCTTGCTAATAAAAGTTTCTTGCCATTGAAGAAGACCTTTTCAATTGTGAGGAAAAGCTTAGGTCCTCCGGTATCACTGTGTCGTGGGACCTCCTCTCTGGCAGCCTTGCCAATAAGAGCTTCAAGAAAATGGGGCATTCAAACACGCTCTACAAAATAAAAAACGGCGTGCTTTCGGAGGGTGGCAACAGTGGCCGCAACGATGATTCTCATTTGAACCTGTCGATCAGAAATTTTGACAAGATGCGCGTAACCGGATCTGGCTGATAAAGAGGAGACATAGTCTTGAAAATAAAATTGAGATATTGCAATGAAGTGGGGTGTGTACGTGTCTTTACCACTCCCGCTTTCAAAAATGTAAGTAGTTTTATTCAACTCAACTATTTATGAGATTATAAGAACATAGGTGTAATTAAGTAATTTATTATGTCTCATTAAAAATACTTTCCCTCAATATTTCTTAGTTCTGCTTAAAATATAACTGTAGCAATATAAATATGCTATTAATATTGTTATTGACACACATCTAAAGACTTGCAATTGCTGCATAAATGATGCATAATTGCAAAATGTAATTAGCTCACATGATTTTTCACAGACATTGATACGTCCAATGTGGTCACTAAAAGGTGGCTACTAACAACTAAAATAGGCCATTGCTTAGAGTCACCTGGAAATTGTCCCTTGGCTGCTTGCCACTCCAGTTTGCATGAGCAGTTCACTAAGGCCACAGGCTCAAAATAACTATGATTCCCAAGCTCTCATTATAAAAGAAATCACATTAAAAAACACATCCTTGCCGCATATATGAGCTTTCACTTATACCATTAAAATGCACGTTCCTCAAGATAAAATTATGAACAACTTCTTGAGTTTACACATCATGTTTTTGGTACTTCTGACAGCCAGATTGAGACGAAATTTTGCCCAGATAGTCTGTATTTGAAACATGTTACCTACAAAATTATTATGAAAAGTAATTAGGCACTCAGTGCTTAATTACTACAGTTAATTGCTACCCTCTCACATTTTTCATGCAGATCCTGCTACTAGGTTTAATAAAGTGGAATGCTGGGCCAGCAGGTACAACATGACTTGAAAATATACCAGTGCACAAGGTGGAAGGAAGGAAGCACTTGACAGGAAAGACGCTCAACGCTAGTGTTTCCACCTTCAGCGGTAGGGTGGGGGTGGGGGAGGAGGATCATGATTCAAGAGTTGGGGGAGATAGAAACTTGTCCCTTGATTTAAAAAAAAAAAGTTTCCAAAAAGGGTGAAGCAGTTAACGCAGCATGCCTTAATTCTTATTTATGCACCAGTACTGCTTTCTCTATTTTCGAAACATAGCAGGTGTTAATACAAATCCTCAGCACCTTGAAAGAATGCAATTTAACAAAATACATATTTATGCAATTCTTTGTTCCTATTGCTCAGCACCAAGTCGGAAGATACCCATCAAACTCATTTCAAAAATGCACGTTCTGCAGAAAAAAAAAAATGAAAATTCTGAATTGATCCAAGGGGCACAAAGCTTAGCAGATCAAATCACCGGGTATGATGTACGGAAATTGCAACCAAAGATATGGGTTCTAGAGCACTGGAACCGCATGGTGAACTATATTTATGAAGGAGCATGACACGATTGCAAGTGCGCCGATGTCTGAGAGGGGTTGCAGCGATAAAACATGCGCATGCGAAGAAAATGAGAAACCCGGGTCATAGCAACACAATAAAAGCAGCAGTGTTTTCTTCAACAATAATGCAACACAATAATGGGCAGTGTTTTCTTTCGCATACTGTGAGTACATTAACAGCATCAAATAGATATGACCTGTGCAAGTGAGCCTCACCAGAGTTTCGATTGACCTGCTTCTGGGGGATGATGATCTGGCAGGAAAGCGAGTCCTTCGTGTTGGGAATGGCATGATTCAGCAGGCAGATGCACCTCACCACCTGGCCCACCTGAGCAATGGAAGAACTCTTTTGTTCACTCCATAGGGAGTTGACCTTAAACTCCTTTTCAACTTTTCAAGTTGAGCACTTTTGCTGAAAGTCCCCGAAAACTCTCATGTCCAAATGGGCAGAGGCGATTTTGCACGATGATCTCTTTAGTATTGACCTTACAAAAATAAAAAAAATGGCAATCCCATTTGGATACAACAGAAAACAGTTAAACATCGATATACCTATGTCCAGAAATGTGGTTCGTTGGGCTAGTTGGTCAAACATTGTAAAAGGCAAAAACAGCGCGAAATAAGGGGCATTACTCGCATAAGTGAACAGTCTGTCACGCTAAGTGAAAACGAGTAACTAGTATCTGTAGAGTTTGTTATTGATTTGCATGATATGTGGGGTTTAACGTCCCAAAACCACCATACGAGCATGACAGACGCCGTGGTGGAGGTCTTTGAAAATTTCGACTACCTGGGGTTTTTTAGCGTGCGCCCAAATCTGAGCACACAAGCGTACAGCATTTTCGCCTTCACCGAAAATGCAGCCGCCACAGCCGAGATTCGATACCGCAACCTGCGCCAGCAGAGTACCTTAGCCACTAGACCACCGTGGCAGGGCTGCCAAGTTCATTATGCATTTGAACAATTGTGACCTTTTCGATTGACAGCTTTTGCTTATTGTACATGATAAAAAACAGGTTTCATGCATCATGTTTTCCTGTCCACTTTCTTTATATTGCATTCATGCAATAAAACATTCAGTTACTAGCACTTGTTTCGTGTATTCCTTCGGTGTGTGTAGTTGATTTCACCCTGTTCTTACTTGGGGTGTGCGAATATTTGAAATTTTGAATATTTTTTTCAAAAGTGCTTGCTATTCGATTCACACTGCAATTGTACTGTTCGTACTTCCCAAAGCCCAATACAATCGACGTTCAACAAGGTGTATTAGAAGAACTTCAAGTATTAGAAAAATATTCTAAAAATAGTGAAGAAACATTAGAAAAACACTTAGATTCACAGTCCAACTTCAATATTTGAATTCTTTACACCCAAAATTTTGCTATCCTCAAAGCTCTATTTTTTACTTTTTACAATAGCCAAGTCAATAAAATCCCCAATTCAGTTCATTATAGCAAAACCACATTAAACATTAAAGGAACCCTGAAATGGTTTTGAAGATTTTTCAAACACACATTGGGCCGGTAGACCAAGTTCCAAGGATAATTTAGAGACCGATTTGAGCTCTCTGCGTAAACTGTGTAATTTATTACAGTGCTTTAAAGCTGTGAATCGCTGCAGATCGCTTCAGATCGCTGAGGCTCGGCCTGATGCGTTTTCAACCACCCATACACGAAGTGCCATGCTCCGCCCCACTGACATCGATTGGCTGTGGAACGTGCAGCACAGACTACCGGTATCGGATCGGCGGCGGGATTTACGTGTGTGCTGTCTCACGCCACATCGTGATGCAGGCGCTGTGAAGGTGGAGCTTAGCCCCGAGCACTCAAAGGAAGAGTTGAGGGGCAGTTGAAGGTGAAAGGCGGAGCGGAGGAGGTGGTACTTTCTTAGTACTCGTAGCTCCCTTAATAATGGGTGTTTCGATTGAACTCTGGTGCCAATGATTTGCTCCAGTACTGGTCTTGGTCTAATCAAAAACGGAATGGGAAAAAACCGTTTCAGGAACCCTTTATAGTGAAATACACCTTTTCATGCAAGGTGATTACCGAGTAGGAATACTTCGGTAATTAACCAAAGGATTCCTTTTTTTAACTGAAAATATTGAAAGAATGTTTGACCGATTTGGCAGCCTTTTTTAAAAAAATTGAAATTTTTTTATGTGAAAGAAGGTCAATTTTGTTGAGCCTGACACTATTTGATGCAGCATGGGTGCGTCACGCGTAAATATGAAATAAAATTCTAACTGAGAAATAACCCAGGAAGTTTTTTTTCTTTTTCAAACTCGCTCTTTGTGCTGCACTAGAAGCTTCAAAAGCGAAGTCAGCAAGACTGTAACATTACGAAACGGAGTGGCTAATTACTTGCCTGCTCCTTGAGATATCGAGCCTCGCTACTTATAGGCTGGTGTTAAAGGTGAACATACTGCTACTGCCAACATCTTCACGCCTTAAACAAATAAATAAAAAGACTGTCCTGATAATTTGGGTTCAATAAGGTTGCGCTCAGCAGCATTGGTTGTTGTGCTAGAGGAAGGCCGGTCATGAGTTCGTCCACTTGATTGATAGAACTGTTTGAAAGCTGCGTTTTCATTTTCCAAATGGCTTTTTCTCCAAAAACTGTGGCCCCAATGACCAGCTTTCTTATTAGTAGTCTAGCATAATTTTCGGTGAAACCTCGTTGGTTTCATACATTTCTCCTGTTTTTTTTTTCCTTGTGCTTTCGCATGGTGGGCATAAGCCTTCCCGGGACAGCCCGAAAGTGCTCTCTTCCACCCATCCCTGATCTTCAGAGATGATGTTGCGGTCAAAATGGAAGGGAATAGGCTGCTATGACTTACCATCTGCAAGCTCATGAGTTTTAGCTGGCTTCCCAAACCATGTGTAGTGTCGAAAGCCTACATTAGGTAACTTTAGTTATGTTCCACAGTCATCAAGAGATGGCAGCACCTCTGACATACTGTCACCAGAATAAAGGAGCTCTTGTGTGGCACGGGTTGAGTGTGTTCGTTGTTCTCAGTCATGCCGTGTTGCCGACACTACAGTAAAGAGTACAAGCTTTTCCCTAGAATTGAGGACAAAGGTGAAGTCTTTTGTTGCCACCACTGCCTTGTCAATTTCGACAGTACTTTTCTTTTGAACAACTTTGAAAAAGAACTTCTTGGATGAGCTCGACATTCCAGGTTTGGAACTTTCTTCGGTCTTGTAATGCAGGCAACCAAGCTGAAACCTCACATCCTCTGGATTGGAGGGGACGCCAGTAGCTCTGTCAACATCAATGTTCTCCATGTTATCAGACACGTCACTACCAGTTCCTGACACACGGGCCTCGAAATTCGCGGTTTCTCCAAGTTTTAAGGGTTCCCTTTAGCGCTGTAATGCCCCTGGTTCAAACAAGTGTGCAGGAATATTCGGGAAAATTCGAGGAATAGCACCGGCTTTGGTGTCCACCTACCCACTTAAAGCGAACTTCTCGGATAATTCTAGCAACAATCCAAGGAGTTTGTGTATGAAAGGCATCTTCACATGAATATTATACAATTTATATCAGCTGTGCCAGCTTTGAGGCTTGTAAGCTCACCGATTGAAAAGCATAGCAGGATTGTGGCTTTAATTCCCGCAAGACTTCCCGTGTAGGCTGTCTATTTTCCTTTAGCTATTCAAAAAGAAGCAAAACAGTTTATTATACAATCGAGCCCACATATAACGGCCCCACTTAAAACGAACCTTCCCTTAAAACGAACAGTATGTGCGTAACTGTGAAAATATCAATTGGTTTAATCGCACGAAATCGCACTTACAACGAACGCTCCCAGCGCCGCTGATCGGTTACAGCAAACAGAGTCGGCGCTCTGCCGACTTCCAGGGAAACCACTTTCAACCACCCATCAGGCATCAGCAGGGTGCCCATTACATTCTTATTGCTAAACGACGACCCTGCCTTTGCGCCCCTTTAGTCGATCCTCTCCTCGACCGCTTTTTGTAACCCACCCCTCCGTCCTTCGTCTCCCCGCTACTCTGAGCACCCCGCATCGTCAGACGAGGCCAGTGTTTTTACACTGCCACCGATCTTTCGAAGACCGGTCGGCCATCTCATCTGTTTTTGACTGCTGGTACTGCCGTTGGCATCGCCAGTCTGGAGTGACCAGACCATTTGCCAACATTGTCAGCCACAGACTGTATTCGATCGTCTGCGCCTAGTGCACGCACATACGCTACCCCACTGACTCTGATAATTTACGATTCGTTTCCTGTTTAGCACTTGTTCTCTCTCACTTCGCACTCGGCTCAACATGCTCTCCCCCGCACGCGTGTGGAAGTGCAAAAACGGCTGTTAATTTGCGCAAAACAGATCGCGAAATATCTAACTTGGTGAGGCCTTGCAAACCCGCTGGCCCAACAAAAAAATTTTTTGACCACGGCCGCTGATTCTTTTAACACTGCTGCGTGCACAGATCCAGACGGCCGTGCTTTGACTTCTGAGCGCGCAAGGACTCTCAAGTTTTTCTACGTGCGAGTTGCGCGTTTCGCGAACCTTTCAAGCAATCTACCCAACCTGCTTTCTTGCCGTGTGTTTTGGTTTTCAAGGTCACCCTCCCACCACATCCTCCCCTCTCTTTACTCTATCGCAACTTCTTGGCCTCCTCTCGCAAATGTGTTCTCCTCTATCGATCACAATCCCCTTGCCCGTCTCCACCACTCTGCGACGCCAGCGTGGCTGGCTCGAATGAGTTCTCTGACTGGAAATGGGCCCAGAGCTGTTCCACGCGTTCTGGCACGTGTGCGTGTGTGGTAAGGATGGCAGACAGGAGGACTTGCACGCTTTTTCCTGCTGCACAACAAAACGTCAAAAGTGTGATTGCTTGTCTCGAGCGTAATCCGCGTGTTAGGTGCCGCGTTGTCGAGTGCTCACTCATAGCTGTTGCCCACCTGGCAGCCAACTTGCCGCTTTGGGGGTCCCGGTATTCAGCTGTGGAGATGGTGAAAATTTCGTGGGCGGTGGCGAGGGCTATATGCGCGTGAAACTGTCTTCACAAGGCTGACTTCGTCGAGGTCAGGCCCGATGCCAAACCTGAAGCTTCCAAACAGGATCACTCCGGCAGCGATTTGTGTTGCCCACCTGGCAACACAAATCTGTTTGCTAGCTTTCGTGGATGCCAGTCTTGCAACTTGGGCGACCTTTTGTGCTTCTATTTCTCCAAAGGTGTTGTGGCCAGCCAGTGAAAATATTTTCTGTACTGGTGTTTTGTGGGAAACCCAGTACCTTTTTCATGCTCTTGCGAATCATTGATTCTAATCTGGCTTCGTCCCATCTGCTCCACTTGTGAGCCAG